AATCATGGTTACTCAAGCAGGAAAATATTTAAAATATATATGCTAATCTGGAGGTTTTCACATTTAAGAAAACATACAGAACAGAAATCACTCTTACAAAAGGAACCATTAAAGAGATTTTTAAAATGTTTTTTGGGCAGAAAGAATATTTTTGTTATCTTTTCAAATGTTTCTCTGAAAAACAAACTACAACAAAATGAGCAAGTTTAACTCTTGAAAACCATAAACTCATTTAGTACATGTTAAATGAAAGTTTTAATTCCTTAAAAGAGTAGTTACCCAACAGAAAGACAAAAGATTTGTATAAAAAGCAGATAAAGCCAGACTTCTTCTTCAGAAAGGTCACTTGTGCTGCGGAAAATGGGTTCAGGGTAGGCTGGGAGTTGTGAGACGATTGCAGCAAAACTAGGTGAGAAAAATGGGAGCGTGAACTAGGGGAGTACCATTAAAGTTTAGATGGAGCACAATTAGGATACAAAGTGATGGGGCTTGGTTACTGAATGAAATGTTTTGTACATATTATTTTAAATATATTACATATTTACAAAAATATACACATGAAAATTAGTGGTTATTGTTGTTGTTGTTAGGTGCTGTCGAGTCAGTTCTGACTCATAGCGACCCTGTATGGGGTTTTGGAGGAGTGGGTGGTGAGATTGAACCTCCGACCTTGCAGTTTAAATTGACCTTGCAGTTGAGTGCATTAACCTGCAATGCTACACTGTTTTCTATCATGCTTTTAAAACTAACTACACAGTAGTCATGTCAATAATGGGAATAACTTTAACATCTTCAATAGGAGTTCATGCTTTATACAAGTAAATTTATGTACTTAAATCACTGAGATAATTTCCTACTGCTAGAGATAAGAGCTAAATGTTGTTAAGTGCCGTCAATTCTGACCCATAGCAATCTTGTATAGGGGTTCCGTGGAGCAACTGGTGAGAGCTAAATAACACTTAAAATCAAGAAATCATTATTTTAATTTAACACAGCAAATTAAGATATAGAGGGAATATAATTGCAGAGCTGTAGTTTTTGTTAAATGGAAGACAAGGGTTTATGAAGGTATCACAAGATGTTCGATTCACATTTTCTTTGTCTATAAATTTTTTTTAACTACATGGGACATTGTAGGATAAGCAAGGGAACATAAGGTCAGTTTGTACCACAAGATCAGTGGTTCAAACTCACAAGCCGCTCCTTGGAAATCCTATACAGGGTAGCTGTAAGTCAGAACTGACTTCACGGCACTTAACAACAACAATTCCTTACTAGTATGGTGCTGGTTAATGTGCCAGACTGCAAAGCCGTGTGAATTGCAAGGTTGGCGGTTCAAGCTCACCAGTATCTTGTTAGAAGCCCTATACAGTGTCGCTATAGGTTGGGATTGATTCAACGGCACTTAACAACATGGCACTATAGAATAAGCACTGGACTATGGACCTCAAGGTCAGCTGTTCCTTGGACCCCTGCACAGTGTCGCTTTAAGTTAGAATCAAGTCCAAGGCACTTACCAACAATAAAAACAATTCCTTACTTAAGAAGCCTTGGCGGTGCAGTGGTTAAAGTGCTCAGATATTAACCAAAAGAGTAGGAAGTTTAAACCCAGCAGATTATAGCCTTGGAAACCCTAATGTGCAGCTCTACTCTGTCCTATACAGAGTCCTGGTATGATATTGTAGGATAAGCACTGGACTGCTAACCACAAGCTTGGCGGTTCCAACCTACCAGCTGCTCCAGGAAACGATTTGGGGTCACTAGAGTCAGAACTGACTCAACAGCACTTAACAACAACTGTGTCCTATAGAATCAGACTCATCTCAACAGCCCTGGGTGTGATTATTCTCTTTTACTCCTCACTTATCAACTATCTTGTTATCTGGCATTTTGGATTTATGACAATAGTAAAAAATTTACTATCTGGCTATTTTGTGCACTAATGATGTACGTCTAGCAATGATGAATGTGGAGATGCTAGGTGAGAGTAACTGGCTATGATGGTTAAAGGGACGTGTCAACTTGGTCGGCCCATGATTTTCAGTGGTTTGGCAGTTACGCAATGATATAATTTGGTGGTTGTGTAAAGTAGCAATTATGTTATGATGTAGTCATCTTTCATTTTGTAATCTGTTGTGTTCATTCCATTTTCATATGATGCCAATATTAACATAATTACCTGGTCTCTAGAACCTAACCATGTTGATAACTGAGGAGTGATATATTAAAAAAAATTAAAATAGTCACATTTGGAGGCATTACATATCAAATCTTAACATAATGGACTTCTAAAGCACTATTTTGTGTAGAAAAATTACCTCATTTTTTCTCAGCTCTCAGAAGAGATCTTGTTCTGAGAACTCTGTGACATAAATATATGACCTCCTTGTAAAATGTGTCAATGATTTAGAAGGTGGTAGTTCTTCACTTTTTTTTTTTCTCCAGTGAATTCTATTTGTGTATAAACATCATACTTAAATATTTAAGTATTTTGTAGATAACATCATAGTTAATTAAATACTATGCAAAGTTCTGGCAGACCTGCTTGTCACCACATAATAATTGCCCAACAAAAAGTGAACAGGCAACATTTCATACATCAATAATTACAGATGATACAAATTTCTGAACAGGCTTCCCTAACGCAGTTCCTTTTATTTCCTGAGTTTCTATTCAATATAAATTTGAGGTTTTGTACATGTTTTTAAAAGAGAGTGTTATAGGACTAGTTCCTGTGAGTCAGACTCTGAGAGAGAGTTATGCAGAAATGAAGTTTTCAGGTAGTATTCTTGGGAACAACACCTGTTTGGTGAAGCATGAAGAAAGCAGGATTAAGCAGAAGGAAAAATGGAATTAGACTGCAGTTGCAACTGAGATCTCAACAGATTTTACTAGGAACTCTGAAGCTTGGATGGTCTTTTAGAATCCTGAATACAAGCAAAGGACCAAGAGATTACCTACCAGTCATTAGATTCAGGCTACTCCCAAAGAGGGGCTATAAATAACTTTCTTTGGGTCAGCAAATTTCCAAGGAGGATGGGTAAGCCCAGGGGAATGGTCAGCTATGAATCATTAGCAACCATCGCTCAGAAGCACTGAGAATGGGTATATTGGCAAAAGGGTTTCTAGACAGTGTACCACAGTACCCACCAGATAATCAAGTAATAATAATTTTTAATTGAAACATTTAACACACAAAGGGAAGAAAGATAAAAGGGAACTTTCACATTTTAAAATATTACTTTGTAGGTACAAATATTGGCCTCTCTCTGTCCAGAGCAAAGAAGGATGAAGAAAATAAGAGATGTATGGAAACAATTAACCTCAAGGATTAATGGACCACATGAACCTTAACTTCCACAATAGTGAGGCAAGAAGAACAAGATGGTGCCCACCTACTTACTACTGACTGCCCTGAAAGGAACCACATCAGAAGGCCCTAGATAGTTGGGGGAAAATGTGGACCAAAATACAAAATCATAAAAAAAAAAGTACATGCTCCCTGTTCAGACAGAAAATGGGGGAACCCCCAACTATGGCTCTTAGTGACCCTCCTTCAGGCCTGGAACTGAATTTACCCTGGTAGCTCAGCTTTCAGTAAAAAAAAAAAAAACTCCAGAAAGGCCTAGAAGGTAAACAAAAACATCAGGGAGGTACGCACTCCTTAGAACAATCAACCATTTGAGATTAAAAAAAAAAAAGGCAGCATTGGGTTAGAAACAAAGTTTAGAAGACAGAAAGGAAGAGGAAAGAGAGACAAATAGCAACAAGAATCACAGGGAGAAAGTGGAATGAGTGCTGTACATGGTGGAGATTGCAGTCAATGACACGAAAACAAAATGAGCATGAACTGTTGAAAGGAAAACTGATTTGCTCTGTAAACTTTCACTTAAATCATAATAAAAAATACTTTTGTTATTTAAATATGCTCATGTTCCTAAGTGTGTAATGCAAAGTACTTAAAAAATGGAAAAAATATTACATTTAGTACATAAGGTATATCATAACTGCAGATATTGAATAAAATCTCTGTATTTTGGAATGGTACTTTTGACCATAAAACTTCCTTAAAGGTGAAAATAAGAGTTTAAATGAAAAAATAATATTTCAAGGAAGTTTCTTACTTCATTGTATTATATATTTCCAATTCTTTTTCTGAAAGGTCCTTTTTCAAATTCCCCAAATGAAATGGATTTGGAAGAGTAGACTTCTTTTTACAGACCTGAAAAATAAAGTCAGTGAGATTAGTATCTGTTTGCTCAGCTTTATCTACGTAATCAAACAGCAGGGATAAGTTTAAAAATTCATGTGAAAAAATAACTTATTATTTTCTTTTGCTGATTTGTACCTCTTGGTTTATCCTTTGCTAATAGTGATCCATGGGCTGTATCATGAAAGGTCATGATGGTTCTCCCTGAAAACCTACTGGATCCATCGCTACACTCTGTTACAATCCATATGTATGCATGCTTGTTTCCCTTCCTAGACTTCAACTCCTTAAAAGCAGATGCTGTGCTTTGTTCATCTTTAGATCTCTTTTATGTAGCTTGTTCCTTGGTCTCTAGTAGGTATACAATCAACATTAGTTGAATGGTTCAATCATAAACATTAATTCCATTTCTCTTGAGTTGTTCATGGCTTTGTTAATCTCTCCAAATCCTCTTAAGACTACACAATGTTGTGGTTGTTTATGTTCTGTCTAGTCAGTTCTGACTCATAGTGACCCTGTATATGGTTACTGAAGAGTGATTGATGGGTTTGAACTGCTGACTTTGTGGTAAGCAGTCTACTGCTTGTCCTACAGTGGACAAGCCACACTTGTTGCTGTTAGGTGCCATCGAGTCGGTACCAACTCACAGTGACCTTATGCACAGCAGAACGAAACACTGCCCAATCCTGGGCCAACCTCACTACTGTTGCCACGCTTGAGTCCATCGATGTTGCCACTTGGCCAATCCATCTCGTTGGGGGGTCTTCCTTTTTTTCTCTGACCCTCCACCTTACCAAACATGATATCCTTCTCCAGCAACTGCTCCCTCCTGACAATTTGTCTGAAGTATGAGAGACGAAGTTTGGCCATCTTGGCCTCCAAGGAGTACTCTGGCTGCACTTCTTCCAACACAGATCTGTTGGTTCTTTTGGCAGCCCATGGCATTTTCAATATTCTCCGACACCATAACTCAAATGCATAAATTCTTCTACAGTCTTCCTTATTCACTGTACAGCTTACACATGCATATGAGGTTATTGAAAATATCATGGCTTGGGTCAGGTGCACTTCAGTCCTCAAGCTGACATCTTTGCTCTTGAACACTTTAAAAGGGTCTTGTGCAGCAGAATTGCCTAATGCAATACGTTGTTTGATTTTTTGACTGCTGCTTCCGTGTGTGTTGACAGTTGATCCAAGAAGAATGAAGTTCTTGACAACTTCAATATTTTCTTCATTGATAAGAATGTTGTTTATTGGTCCAGTGGTAAGGATTTTTGTTTTCTTTACCTTGAGATATAATCCATACCGAAGGCTGTGCTCTTTGATCTTCATCAGTAAATGTTTTAAGTGCTCTTCACTTTCAGCAAGCAAGGTTGTATCATCTGCATATCACAGGTTGTTAATGAGTCTTCCTTGTCCTACAGTGGACAAGCCACACCAGACTATTCATATTCTACCAACTTCACTAAGGGGGGTAAAGAGTATAGTAGGGAAATTAGTACTTCTTAAATACATCCCGCTTAGTGTTCCAAAAATGTTCCAGGTTAGATCAAATCTATGGATATTTGTCTTGTCACTCAAAATTTCATGTTATTTGTGCTCCTTCTGAGACTCCTCCTCTTTCATGCTTAATTTGATATCATTTCTGACTATCCAAATGACAAGTTTAAGAATGTTTTGCAAGATAGCAGCATCACTAGGATAAGGACAAAGACTCCCAGGGTGATTATTTTGATAATCATTTGGATACATTATAGTATTTTCATGGAAAAAATAATGAAACACACTAACATAGGCAAAAAAAGGAACATTCTTTTTGCTTTACAGTCACATCTTGAATTCTTGAGTAGAGATCAGACCATATATGGCACATACACACACTTTTAAGTTTCTAATACTCTTTTTTGTTTTTGCTGAACATTTGAATAACTATTTAATCAAATCCACTCCCAATTTGCCCTAAAGTGACTGGTAGGTTTGATCTACTGACTTTCACTAGAAGTAAAGCAGAAACAAATGATGGGATGCAGGACTGAAGAGTTTCTCTACTTTTAAGTACTGCTACGCAGATGTTCTTCCAAGTTAAAGGGGGAGGGGGGTCCTGTTTTATTACTTGATATATCTTCCTAAATACTCTTTTTGGTTATAAATAATTGGTTTGCCAATATGAGTAAAACCACCACAAGTTTAAATGAGGAATGACCCATGATAACAAATTATCTTGCAATTATAAACTAAGAATTAAAGAGAGAGCTTAGCTCTTATAATGTACACACTTGAATAAATACACACCTTAAGCAAAGCCCCACTTTCCTCTGAGCCATCAGAGCACTGAGATTCTCTCTGCTTTCGTATTGCATCCGGAGTAGTGTTGGGGCTAAGGCCAACACCTTCTCCACCTTCACAACCATTGTCAGAACCTCCGATGCTTCTGGAAGGACTGGGCTTATGTGTCTTTAAGGAATAGTCAAAAAGACTTCTTCTGCATGTTGGAAAGGTTGCAACTTTGGAAGTACCCTGTAGTCTACTGAGGATAGGTGAAGTTGTCAAACTCTCTGGCTTGTCACGTGATCCAGTAAGGAACCAGTCAGCAGAAGACAAACAGGGACGTGGAGCACAGGCTAGACGTTCATCTATGCGAGAATCAACTTCTTCCAGCTGGTGAAGAGTTGCTTTGACCTGATCCACATATATATAGTCTGGTCCAGGATTCCCAATAGCTTTGGATGCACAGCCTCCAGCTTCTAGTATTACACATAACATGTAATGTCTCTATAAGAAACAAAATTATTAACATAGTTATCTATCATGAACATAACTCTATACAATATAAATGCATAAATTTATAATAATATGATACATTGACATATGGCATACTCATGTCGTGATAATTAAACATCCTTCCCTCCCTTTTCTCTCTTGATTAGTCTACTTCCTCATCAACCTTGAAAGCATGTTTCACATTATTTTATCCTAAAATACCTGTCAACAATTCCTTTTGGCAAATGGAATGCTCTAACTTGCTAGCTTTCAAAGAACACCAATTATTTTCATTTATATAATGGCTTATTTGTTCCATTTCTGATTCTATATCCTTTTCATGTCTCCCTCCTATTTCCCAAAACAAATCAGCAAATTTAAAACCACTATAGAAATGGAAGTCCTGGTGCAGTGCCCTAGGATAAGCACTGGATACCTCAAGGTCAGTTTGAGCTGCAATGTCAGCAGTTCAAACTCACCACTGGCTCCTTAGAAACCCTATATAGGGTCAAACCCAACTTGATTGTACTTAACAACAACAACAATAACAACAGCATAGAAATGGGAAAGAAATATGTTAAGAACCTGCTAAATTTTAAAAAAAAATTTCATTTGTAAGTATTGTATGGATATAAACAAGGGGACTATAACACTTAAAAAACACTAGCATCTCACATGCTCAAAATTTTAAATGATTATGTTTGTTTTTATATTTATTAAGAAAAGCAATGAATGGCCAAAAAGAAATCCCAAGAAAAAAGTAAGTAAACTTACCAAGCCAACAATTAGCAAAAAATATCTGCCTTCAGGTTCCTGAAAAATTTTAGTATTTGAGTCTTCAGACTGTTGGAGGTGATGTTGAGGAAACACTTCTCTCCATATAACCAACTGACCAATTCTTTGTTTTGCGGCTAAAGGCAGTAGACAATAGTGGCGACAATATATAGCAATAGCAATAAGATCATCCTTAGGTAAATGGCTGCATATCAAATAACCCTAGAATTGAACCACAAAGAGTTTAAGTCAACTAGTGACATAAAACAGTAAGTAATCCCATAATATATCTAAGAGTTTTACAGACACTTCTTCAATTGACTTAAATATTTTAGTTTCAAAAGGGATAGATGAAGACAGCAAAGATAAATTTATCAAGCTAGAGAACAAATATTGATAGCTTAAGGGACCCAACAAATAGGTTTTAGCACAAAGCAACATTACTTCTGAATAGCAATAAACTAAATGTCTGGCACTATTAGAAAAGAATTGAAATCTGAGGAGATTAAACAGCAACCTGGGAGTTGAGGAGAGGTTTTTCACTGTGTACCCTTCTATTTCCATTTTTAGATGTGTTAAATTTTTTTCTGTTTTCATAAAAAAAGAAAGTACTTAAGGAAGTTTGCTGCTTAATTTACTTTATGTGGAAATTGACTATTTAATGTCAGCGATTTTCTTTTGAAAATATAGGGTTACTTCTGAAGACAAAATTAAAAGCACACTATTGCAAAAGAACCAATAGATCCATTTTGGAAGAAGTACAGCCAGAGTGCTCCTTGAAGGCCAAGATAGCCAAATTTCGTCTCTCATACTTCGGACATATTGTCAGAAGGGACCAGTCGCTGGAGAACAATATCATGTTTGGTAAGGTGGAAGGGTCAGAGAAAAACAGGAAGACACCCAATGAGATGGATTGGCCAAGTGGCAGCATCAATGGACTCAAGTGTGGCAATAGTAGTGAGGTTGGCCCAGGATCGGGCAGTGTTTTGTTCTGCTGTGCATAAGGTCGCTATGGATCGGTACTGACTTGATGGCACCTAACAACAACTTTAAAAGAAAATTTAAAAAAAGAAAAAAACTAGTATATTTTTCTCTCTTATACACTTGGGACTTAATTTTCCTTTGTTATTGTGTTACATGCCATCGAATAAGTTCCAACACATGGTCCTATGAGTATAGGGTTTCCAATGAGTGGTTGGTAGGCTTGAACTACTAATGTTTGCTTAGCAGTACAGTGCTTATCCTATAGCGCTATTCTTTTTTTTCTTTTACATATTTACAAATACTTTGCTTACACATTTACAAATACTTTAGAATGTAATAACACTACACATATATTTACACTTACAGGATTGCATTGCTTAATGTCCACAATATGGTCTGTGGAATAGGACATTATGTGATCTGAATGGTGTGCAAATTCCCTATTAAAACCTATGGCTACCTGCCTCCTGTTGTCCTTGTTGCTGCTGTTGCTGTAGTTGCTGGTGAAGGCCACAGGCGCTGTTAGCAGTGGTGGATGATTCTATCTGCTTGAACAGGAGCAGCCTGGGCCCAGCATACTCAGCCACCACCTGCATACCAGACAAGGTCAAAGAACCTACACCCAAACCCATATCCTCTGCCTCACCTCTCACATCCTGGGGTCTTTAAAACATTAGGGGAAATAAGCAAAAAGAGAGCGGCTTTCCCTTCGTTTTTTTTGTTGTGAAGTGCCATTGAGCCAGTTTCTACTCATAGGGACCCTGTATAGGGTTTCCGAGGAGTAGCTGGTGAATTAGAACCATTGACCCTGCGGTTCAAATGGACCTTGAAGTAGAGTGTTTATCCTATGGTGCCACACTTGGTGTGCAGCTGGGGGTTAATGCGCTGGACTGCAAGATAGGCTTGAAGCGCAAGTTTGACAAGCTCACCAGCTGCTCATTGGAAACTCTAGCAGGGTTGCTGAGTTGGAACCCACTTAACGGCATTTAACAATAACAAAACTTTCCCTTTAAAAAAGAAAAAAACCTTACGGGGCCACAGACATATACATGGTCGGACGCTGTTCAAATGGACATTAAGCAAGGCATACCTGTATGTAGATGCAAGTCTTGCTTTAAGATCTTATTAGTATAGTACCTACATTTGGAGGAAAAGAGATCAACACATTTGTTATGTTTGTAAAAGTTTCCAAAACTTTTCTTTAGACCTGTTCATATAACACTTGGGCATTTACAAAAATTTCAAGCTTTAACTTACCTTGTAAAATAAAGAAGAACCCAAAATTGTATACAGCCGCCTCATGTCAAAATAATCCTCAGACTGGGAAAGAAAAAACAAAAAGCCCACACTGGATTTTAAACTTTTTGGTTCTCTATGATTAAAAACAAAATTCTAATTAAGCTATAACACTTACATAGGAAATTAAATATTTACTAATTGAACATTTCAAAGTACTTTCTTTAAAAATTAACATACTATTTTGAGACAATATACACGTGGATGTATATTTAACTGAGAACAACCTTATTTTTCATTATCATAAGATGTTGTTGATCAAGACATCTAAGAACAGAATATAAGATCTGCTATCACAAGAGAAATTTTAAAAGAAAAATATATTAAGACCAAAAGCTTCTATTGTATGTCACTGAAAATACCCAATACTATCATATACTATTTTTGGGAGTCCTCACTCGTCTGTAAGTTTGTCGTACTGTGGAGGCTTGTGTGTTGCTGTGATTCTGGAAGCTATGCCATGGGTATTCTGAATACCAGCAGGGTAAACCACAGTGGACAGGTTTCTGATGAGCTTCCAGATGAAGACAGACTAGGAAGGAGAGATGAACTACTTCTGAATATTCAGTCAATGAAAACCTTAGGAATAGCAGTGGAACACTGTCAGCATCAGATTACTGAATAGTGAAACATGATGAAGAACATCAGAATATTGTCAGATATAGTGCCAGAAGATGACTCCCTCAGGTTGGAAGGCACTCAAAATGCGACTAGGGAAGAGCTGTCTCCTCCTCAAGGTAGAACTTCCAAAGATGCTGTAAATGGAGTAAAGCCTTCAGGACCTTAATTTGCTAATGGAGCACAACTCAAAGTGAAGAGAAACAGCTGTAACATACTCTAATGATTGGAACATGAAGTATACGACGAAGTATGGATCTAGGAAAATTGGAAATTGTTAAAAATTAAACGGAAAGATGAAGAAAAACGTGGCATCAGGATTGGAGGAAGACTCATTAACAACCTGTGATAAGCTTGCTTGCTGAAAGTGTTGTTGTTGTTGTTAAGTGCCGTTGAGTCGGTTCCGACCCATAGCGACCCTGTGCAGGGTTTCCGAGGGTGTAAATCCTTACGGGAGTAGAAAGCCTCATCTTTCTCCCGCAGAGCAGCTGGTAGTTTCGAACTGCTGACCTTAAGGTTCGCAG